ACTCACAGTGTTACGTGGGCGTGGAGAAAGAAATCGAAGCCAACCTTCGTAGACCGAATGTCCAACCTACGCCCGCATACCTGCGCCAACGTCGGTCCCGCTCGCTAACTAGGCAATGATACATCAACTAGAGGGTATTGTTCTGTCAGCCGGTAGCTGCCGCCGAATTCGCGTCTGAGGCCCTGGCTATCGGCACCTCGCTCGATAGCTCGTCCGCTGGCTCTCTGGTTTACTAGCTCTCTCGCACTCATTTGGTGAACGCTCGAAAGGAACAAAAAAAAGACAAGACCCGGCTCGAACCCCACCACCAACGCCGCCGCCATTCCTACTTCAAGCATCGCGGGACTCAGCCGAGCAACCCAAATCTTCGAGCACTCCCTTCGTGGCGGCACGGCGCGCTACGGCTCTATTGGCATACTCAGATTCGCTCCACGAAGTTTCGTGAGCTCTCTGACAAGATGATAGTAATGCTCCCCTCGTGAAGCTTACGAGCCATGGCAGCGAGTTTGCTCGCTCGCTCACTCCATCCTTCACTCACCCCGACGACCGGAATGGATGATGTTCCCACACCTCGTATTAACTACTGCGTGCGCTCGATTAGGAGGGGGCCGTGCAGTATGAGCATTTCTTTTAATGTTCCACATGCGCTCGCTTCCGTTCTCCGGCACACGAAGCGGAAAAGAACGACACGAACTACATCGAAATCCAGCTCTATAGTACGTCTACTCCGTGCATCAGCGCGAGTCAATGCCCTCAACCCTAAACCATCATCCGCACTGTCCGCCGACGTACCTCGTGAGCGTCCCCAGATCGCCCAATGAATATTCCATAAACGCCTTGATTCCCGAATCAGGAGCTTCCAAGTCAGGACTCTCCATGCTTGGTGACTGAGCTTCATATTTGTGCGGCTTCATCCCAGCAGAACAACGAGGGAAAGAAAACTCGCGCGATTTCCCGAGCCCAGTGGAAAAGCGTTTTCCAATTTATTGGCAAGAGGACTTATCCCACGTCGCGATGCGGAGATTAAAACCATGCATCGTTGGAAATTCAGAAGGCTAGGATTCGAACTATCTCTCCTCCCCGACCGCTCTCCCTTATCTCTCCAGAAGAGGATTAGCGCCAGCGAGTTCTCAGCGGAAATCTGGAACAGTGTTCGATTCTTCGGAGATGTGTTTTTTTCTTTAGGAACTGGAGTCGTAATGATGACGCGGGAAATCGGAGCCGTTCCCATCCACAAGAGCCGATGTTCGCCTCGTCCAACAGACTTCAACGGTTTCTACGGCTGCGGACGCGGCGCTCACCGGTAACAGCCAAGATGGCTACCAAAGTTCTCCGAAGTCGCGTCCCTGAACCTACAGAATATTTTGTCGTTCGCCGGCTCGTTCTCTATCTTTCTTTCTAGTGTCTGAGGCCTCTCGGCGTCCACTTTTTCCGGCGAGAATCTTTCGGTATTGCTTCCCTCTAGAAGATGCACCTTCAGGCTTCCGAATCTCCGCCGCGTTTCCTTCCATTTTCTCGACTATAGTTTGTCGAGTTCTTTCTCCGTGAATCGCTCCTGCGCTGCGAAACGACTGAATCTGTTCGCTTAGACAGAGGCTTGTTGCGAATTCCGAATCGGAGGAGCAGCAGCTCGTAAGAGACGTGTTCTCGGAACTGCAGAGACCCTCCTGTTTGAACAGAACTCCACGTATGCCTAGGCGACCAGATGTATTTCCGACAGTGATCCCGTTACTATTGACTTGGCAGGCGCACTCCAGGGAGTTACCAGGGACTTTGGTGTTGACAAAGAGTCACAGATCAGGCCTTCCCAACACGGAAAGAGACAGGAGGAGCTCAAACGTAGCTTCAGAATCTCTGATCTGGATTCCTCTGACTTTGAGCAAGATTACTGCGTGAGCTCCGGGAATCCATTGAGGGCAAGTTCGCTAGTCCGCTTCGATCGCATTCGGGGAACAGCTTCTCAATTTTATGTATTTGACACACATTATCAAGGACGGCGCATCGCAGCTTCTGCGAAAGAGAGCAGGCTATTCCACAGAGACGACCCACTTCACTATTCCTTTCCGCTGATGCTGGCTGCATGGAGCCTGCATGGACACGAGCAGCAGGAACTTGCTTGTATTTTCCTTGCCCGTAACCGTAAAGTAGTGGTTTCATCCCCCTGCCGATCGTTCGGTCGATCGTCCGAGCGCTACGAGGCGACGACAAGGGGCGTCGTTCGCTTTTCCGTATGGTACGGACTGAAATATCCGATCCAAAAGCAATTGCAACCCATGTCGAGCGATCACTCATGTCTGCATTTCACGAAAGCTATCGATATCTAATTTAAAAGCCGGTCACGTTTTTTTTCTCTCCCGGCCAGCACAACTTCCTACGTGAAACCGCTGCGTCCCTATCTTTGCGAAAACGTTCTCGAGCGAATCCCGAATTAAAATCTGTCTGACTCGGTCCTTGTGCAAGCGGTCGGCCTTGGGATTGACTCGAGCCCAGATGGAATCAGACTCTATAATATCCTGAGTTGCGACAGAAATTGAGTTTTTCCCCGGAACCGAGCCGATTGTCTTCCCGCGAGAACATCTGTTCCGAGGCTGTGGCCAGGCATAGCATGGGACTGTAGAGCTCGTTCGACGAGATCGCCACATGTTTCGCATGACAACATCGCCACCAGTCATTGCACAGGTGACAGTTCCAACGAGACGCAAGCGGTTCCTTTCGGGACTTCTCGAAACAGCCTGTCCGATCGAGAGAACGTCCATCTCGCACCCTAGCGTGGGAATGGGACCCTTTTGTTCGAACTCCCATCCGCACGGGGTCGAGACCACAGCGACGCGACGTCTTCCGGACTCGTTAGCCGAACGGGAGCAGCAGTAGCAGCACTGGGTCACACCGAAATTATTGAGACAATAATTCCGCTATTCGGGATGTTTTTTTTTCTCGTTTCAGAACGTCGCCGTTCGGGATCAGGAAAACTGTCTTTCCTCCTCCGATAAATGTATATTGTTCCGCCGTTCGTTGATCCAAGGGTCTGTAACCTCCTGACAGAGAATTGACAGATCGTCTCGAATGGAGCTCCCACACAATTTGTTTTCAAGGAATGACGATGACCATGAATAAGTCTTCACTCAACCCGTTCAATATGGTTCAACGGTGACTGCAAGGATAATGACCGTCGCACCGTTAGATCATGCTGCTCCGAAGACTGATTCGGGGAGCGATTTTTGATTGCGAGTCCGCTCGTTCAAATGCCGAAACGAGCTTCAAACCAGCGCTTCTAGTGAACGTAGCATTCATGTCGTCGTATCTATGTCGCCGTGCCCCGCAAGTACAGCACCGCAGCGGGAGAAATTCAACTTCTCGATGCCGGTTCAAACGCTCCACGAACAGCATCGGAAGCAAGGGAATTCTCGATCAATCCGTCCAGCGTACGCGTTGCCGATTGGGTTTTTCGCTTTTCAACTAAACCGCTTGCGTCGTTCGTACGACGGTGCGTATCGTCGCCGGAGCCATCGTAAATTCACGTTACGTTAAAGTCTACGACTCCATAAGATGCCGTAACCTCTCGCATGGGGGCAAAATTCATCGACCGATCGATGCGCAGATTGTTCGCTCGATTAATTCTACAACTTATGATCATCCTGCGCTAGTGGGCCGTCCACAGGTGATTCCGAAAATCTGGCATACCGATTTTATTCTTTTTTCAATCAATGCATTGTACCGTCTCTTTCAACTCTTCATGTTCCGAAAGCTTTTCCCGAACTATCATCGATCTTTGGTCAGAGTGAAAAAGAATCGCATTCTTCGGATTTCCTGTAATTCGGCGGTCGGATTATTGTGATTGGACTCTGAACAGGGATCAACGGGTTTGAATCGGCGCCTTTCCAAAAGTTTGGCTGCGCAAGCCAACAGGTCGCTAGGTCACTCAGTCAGTCAGTCATTGGAAATATTTCATTATTCGATATTTGGCCGACCGACTCAGACGCACGCTCGCAGGCAGGCAGACAGACAGACAGCCAGCAGCTCTTATTCCCTGGGAAGATCATCATAATGCGGCACGACGAAGTAAGTAAAAGTTTGAATAGTGCAACACCATGTCCATTTGATGTAATTGTTCTCTAATCTTCCGAATGCGTCGGCAAGGTTATTCGGGTATACGACCCAGTAACACGGATCGTTGACAACAACAACGACAGCAGCGACAACATCGACAACAACCGCGGTAAGCCGAGTCGGTGCAGAGGCGATTAGGAATGTTTTATATGTTTTGTTTATGATACGCGGTAGACCAAGGAATCTACGGATTCTGTCGCTCAGCTTAGTTTCGCTTCACTTCCATTCTGTCGATTGACTTTCAAGGGAAACTGCAAGACCGTCACCTTGTTCCGTTTGGAGATTATCTTGTTGTGAGTTAGAAAGCAGGTAATATTTCCACGATGGTGACAACTGACTTCACTCCCGAACTGGCGCTATGCACGGGTGTCATTACAGCGCTCCCCACTCCGCATGTGGCGATCAAATGGTGATGGCGGAAAAATGGCGGTAAAACGATTTTCACGCCACGAAATCGACAGGACAGCGTTGGTCAAGGGGGTCTCGACGTGGTGGCGGCAGCCCCGACGTACTAGTAGTCACAATGAGTAATTTCAGTGGAAAATTCTCTGTGTTTCGCTCAGCACCCACCCACGCTCTCCGACCATGTCTTCTCGGGCAGCGGCTCTCAATCTTTGACGCGGTGCAATGTGTGCTCATTGGCGTATTCGGTCAGTGGAACACTTGTTTGAGTGCGATCGAGTTCTCCCGATCGAAAACCCCGTTATCCGTTTGACCATTTGGCATTTCAGCTAGCCCATTCAGCCAGGTCGCTGGTCAGCCGCGTCTCGATACTCGACTTGATTCGTGTCACGAAACCTGGTCAAAACAAGACGACGACATCGCCGAACAATCAGGATAAGCGCACATCGCAAAAAATAAACGCTGTCCGCGAAGGAAAAAATGAAACTCACCGGCTTCAGATGAATTCGTGCTCTCCTGGGCAGAGACCACCGACGCGAAACCGATGGCCAAGAAGCCGAGCAACACTGTGACAGTTACCATAGCTCCACGAGGCGAGGTTCTGGTGACACAAACTTTCACTCAGATCCAATCTCAGTAGATTCCACAATTAAGCACGATGGCTGCACTTGGAAGAATCGTCTCAATCCGCTCACCGGGTCGGATTTTCAGCAACAGACAATGAGAACCAGCTAGAAGAGGGCGATGCTTGGAAACCGCTGTCGTCACCGCCGACAAGAGGTGCAACGACGACCCGAGCGATTAGAGCGTACGATTTTGAAGAAACTCCGCGAAGTGAACGATGGCACGCACGAACAGCTGTATTGTCACGCGTCTGACATGTACGTGGGCCCCGAATGCTGGAATCCGACGTCAATCGAAGCGCGCTTGTGCAGTATGCCGTACTGCAAGCAAGAACACAATGGCTTCTGACACAGCCCGTTGTTGGTTGCGAGTGGCCGAGGTGCGCGCCGAGAGAGTTCAGCTTCGCAAAAGCGCCGGTCGAGTTCCTCATAGCAGACGCTAGAGCGCGCGACGATCGGCCTGGTCGCAGTCGCCGCCACCGTAGAAGATGTAGTAGTAGTATTATCCGACCCTCAGCCCGATGGCAGATCTGCCAACAGCGGTAGCAGCTTGCTTGCCGCGTTTTTTTCTATGAACCCACCCATGAGTCATTTAGTTGCTACCTCTCTTTTTCTGACTCTATTTCCGTCGTTCTGTCTATCAGCGAATCTTCAGAATCCTGGCCAACACTTTCCGACAGACCACAGGACTTAATTGTCCCATTGAGAAGACGCGAAGGCGTCCAACGAAGATCATGCGTCGCCAAGACTCGCCGCTTACGAGCCCGAAAGGACAATTTCCCCGAAGCTGGAGTACGATATATAAAGAGAATAATATCAGAGACAAGCTACGGGATGGAGAGGAAAATCAAGCGTGGAAAATAGGTGTCGAAGAAAATTGCATCGATTCTTCAGATTAGGAACATCTTCAATCCATACAAGTGTCTCTGATTATGGATTCTCGGAATAAAATTCGAGATCCCATGAGACTCTTCGAGTTCGAATCATCAGCAACGCGTCGTATGATGGATAGAAACGAGATGCGTGATGGTTTTGAATTGGATACGCTGAACTGAGTCCGTCGATCGTGAAACTCGAGCTCCGTCCGTGAGATCGATGTTAGAATCAGCGCGTCTCGGAATATTCAGAAATACCGCTGGCAAACGGTTTTGATTATTTGAAATGTGTTCTCACACATTTAATCCGAACGCAAATTCGGCGGCGATCCCTCGCATGCCGAGAGCGAACTAATGACGACTCGAAAGGATCGAAGGCATTATCTGGGATTTTATTACCTACATAATATAGCGATCTAATTGAATCCGGGCTCTATATTCAAACCGATCGGATGTCGTGGGCGGAAAGCTCAAGAGACAACTGAAGACAAGCCACAGTAACTCCCCGTTTCTCGCAAACCTTCCAGCTGTCGTCCTTCTCTCGCTTTTTGTGCGTCATTTTTGCGGATCGCGCGTGATTGGTATTATTCCTTTTGGAGACGTGGTGCTTGAGTTTGCCTTCGCTCTCGCGAGGGGATCCTTCGCGCCTCCCGCGTTGGAGATCGAATTGGCCTCTCTGAACAATCTCAACTGATATCATGCAATCCGATCCGGACTCGTCTTAGGAGCAGCGACCCAAAATCGCTCGGAGCGCTGGATGATCCCATCCATCTCCGCTCGCCTTTGGAAATTTTTCTCAAATTCTTTCGGCGGATAGGGAGCTTTCTCTAAGCGTGCAAAACGAACGATGCGATAGCCGAACTACAGGGAGTTGGAATGCCGCAGAACTCGGCCGACAGCAGAACGCTCGCTCCTGATAACAATTGGATGGCATTGACTGTTCGGAACAGATGCGTGTCTTGAATGATTCTGAAGTTCCTCTATACTCTATAGGGAGCGTTTGCTTCCCGGATTTAGGAGATTCCACCTGTATCGTGGAAGTACCTACTCATCACCGAATACTCGACAGCGAGCTTGATCCGTTCACTGGAATGGGCTCTCACCGTGAAGTTCTCTCGGGAAGCACATTCTCCTCTAGAAGAAGAGCTTTTTCCTCTTCCCCGAGGACGTGAAGACTCCGATAGGGAGCTCCGCTGGAGGAGGCTCATCCTCGATTCTCTATAGTGACGTAGGGAACTACAGGGAGGAGAAAACCTCCTGCGATGTACGTTTCGTTGTCCTTGATTCCAGCCACCGAGTGCTTTCGGCTGAGTGAGAACATCGAACTTGGCCGTGCGCGAGGACCCTGATCAGTGATCAGACTCCCCCGGGATAATAAGACGAAGCCTTGGACGCCGTTCATATACTCGACGACCTCCGGGCTCTCGTGGAGCGGGATTATCTCAATTTCTCGATGTATCCACGCGTGACGTACCCGATTTGCGAGGAACAAGAGACTCAGTCACAAAGAGACGTTCCGTGCGCACTCGAAAGCCTCCCTTCTGGACCTATAGCAATAAATCGCAGAAAAAGGAGCAGCTTGCATATTCATGCATAGTTTATTGCGGATGGTGGGCTCTAAATAGGAGCGAATGCCTGGCTGTTCCTGTTTCTATGCTGAACGCCGATTCAAGCACATCTGCCACCGGTCAGGGACTCCATCGACGCAGACGAAGGTGACTACCGTGCAGATGAGAATAGCAGAATAACAGATGAAGCAGGGAGTGTTTCCTCATCATAATTTCATTTGGCGCGGAGATGAGCAAGCCTGGGCTGATTGCGAGAAGGCGTTTCGGCTGGAGGAATATCTGCGACGGGGATTTTCGGATCCGCGTCCAATGTTCCTGTTCATTCTCCACCGTAATAGATTTTTCATCTATCGGGGAGGAACGATCGGTTTAGAATAGACGGTCTCCGAGAAGGATTTGGCATGCTCCGGCCAGAGGGCATGGGAGTCCACAGGTTGTTGCCTCGCGCAGTTTCCACGGGGACCTGCGTCTCTTTATGTGCCCCCTCGACTATTCATGCGGGTGACGCCCATCATTCCCGCTGGAAACGACTCGAAAAGATCAAGAAACGGGTCACGCTTATATGGAAGGCCTATCTCGATATTTCGGGCCATAGGCTCAGCCCGGGTGCTGGCGGATCTCATTGCTGCGAATGGCGCTTCCGTGACGGAAACACACGTCAGGAGAGAGCAGTTCCGCCGAGAGAGTTCACCTTAGCCGGATGAGTCCGTCCAATCGAGACACTCGCATCTGAGTTCAACACAAAATGTATCGACCCCGCCCTCTTCTGGGAGCACCTGAATTCTGGTTTTCGATTTGAGATATATCCGCAGGCTCTAGAGGGCTCGGCTCCCGGGCTCGAGTACCATGACTATGGTATTTCATTGCAGCCCGCGGGACCTGTCCCGCCTGTGTTGGAAAGGAGAAGCTGGCGCGAGTTTGCGGCCAATTAACCCTGACCGTTGTCAAGCTCTCGCCACTGGGTCCGGTTCGCAGGGTCTTACTCGCGCGATGCGGCACTTCTCTTTCGTCTCTCTAATAAGCTCCGTTTTTTATTCGGAGACGTCGGAATTCCCTGTCCTCTATAATGAATCGCAGGTTGAAAGAGGGGATGGAAGAATCTGATCGTATAAGTCAGTTCTGTCATGGATCGCGGAATTCGCCGGCGTAGGTTTTTCTAGCTAGAGGCCACCGAGAGCTGTTCACTTTGCACTGATGAAACGTCGTCAGGAGTCTTTTCGCTCGGAACGGAGTTTGCGAAAGTTTATATTCGGAAGCAGGCTGCATTTTACACCACCAGCAGATCCAAGAGGCCGACTGGACAAAACTCGCCTCTTCGATAACCATTGAATCCGTCCTACGGAAGTTCTTTCCGTTGAGGAACAAGCCGCGGCCAATCGAGAATTCGTCCCGAGGTTCGATCATCGATCTCAGCGACATCCCGCGATAGATCTTCGACTACCCGCGGAGTAGCTATATGGTAAGATATGCGCTAAACACAGCATAGGAAAGGTGCTGGCATGAGCCCCAGTGGAGATCCTCCGAGACGGCCAAATGCCAGAAAGAGCGGAGCGACTCGAGATCTGGAGCTCCGTGACTTCGAAACTCATCCGAGTAGAGCCGTGGTACAGCGTCGACACTGGCGCTGGCTCCTATCCGAGGGAACTTTTCTGGAGCGCTCTAGCCGACTCCGTGGTGAGCGGAACGAGAACAGAGATTCAATCATCGTCTATTGCAGGAGTCGGCAAACGGGGGTCCCCGGACCCCCAGGGGTCCGCGAAATCAGCTGGGGGTTCGCGGGGGTCCGCGGACCCCCTCCCTAGATGAACTCGGGGGGTCCACGCAGAGAGAATCGGTGCTCCGGGTGTCCGCAGACTGAGGAAGGTTGCCGACCGCTGGTCTATTGAATCGCCATGAGCAAAACATCTCAAGGGAATTCACGGGGTCAATGAGAGAAGCGTCACACTTAGTTCCTCTCTCGAGAGTGATTGACTGCATGAGCGAAGCTCCCTCTGTTATAAACGATCAGGACAAGAAGATATCTCGACGCGTCGATCTCATCAATGAAGCGCGAGAAACTCGATCTTTCTTCTGGAATCTACGATAGGCTTGCCCGGGGAGAACCGACAAACCAAAGCGAATGCAGCAGAGGATTTCGGACAGCCTCGACACTCGTCGTCTACTTCGTTTCCGATCATGGTGGAAAGAAAGTGGAGCGATGAGCGAAAATGTTCCATGAAGTCGCGTGATCGATGCTGTTGGATCTATATCTTGATAAAGTCGAAAGCACATGTGGATGCTTCCAAGTTACGAGCGTCGATTGGAATCGCGATGTGAGAATTCGAACGACACATGAACGCCGCTAGTCAAGAACGAGAGGTTTCCAAAGCGTTTGGTATTCGCTTCCAATTATTATGTTATCCTCGAGGAGAGATCGTTCGAGTGACAGATCAGTCAAGGGTAGATCAGCAATCTCCAGAGAGAGGCGTATAATTTGAACCACGGATCGTACATTGCGATCATCCGCTTCTCGACATCGCTAGCCAATCATCATGTTTCAGCCTCGGTTCCTCGGGATTTTCGGGCATCAAGCAAACATCCCACATCGTATTGTTCTCACCGCCTCCTTCTACCCAAGTAGCGCATTTTCGAGACTGTAGGCCTGAACCGAATAGCGATACTCTGTCCTTCCGCGCCGTGAGATAATCTGTTGCTTCCATTGGATCGCGAGGGTTCACGACTGGTTAGCGGAAAAGTTGACGACGAAAGAGATTCCATCCCAGGTGCCTTCTGCTCGAGCGGAAGGCTCATTGCGGAGTTTAGTGAACGTTTCGCACAGGGTGCACGAGCCGTATCAACGACTCGACCACCCGTGATGTCCGTAGTTGTCGACCGGTGCTTGCTGAGCGAGCTCTATGCCCTCTCACTACATCCAAAGAATCGCGCTCGTCAATGGGTCAGCCGACTGCGGCAGTGGAAATGGAGAACCCTTCATTCAATTTCTAGGCTCTCAGCGTGATACGAGAAAGTTGAGCCGGAGCACGCCAACCGCGTTGCGTATCAGTGGTTGCTCCAGATCAGGAATCTCCGCCTTTCAGAGCCCTCCGATATGGTAGAACATACGAAGCGACCCGATGGAAATGAGCGGACGGAGATTCCATTACGGGTTGGGATCATTTGAGCGGGGTGCTGGGCTCCGTGCAAGCCAAGACCCAAGAAAGCAATTCGGATATCAACCGTCGAATCTCTTAAACATTCTGGGATTTTATTCTGTTGATTGTAGGTATAAAAAACGTCATCACAATGATTTTATCTCACACAAGTATCTAGGATAAGTGGATGCGTCCATAAATATTCATTCATTCCTCTCCCGTCGTACAAATCAGCAACATTCTTCTCCCGACTGGGACTTATCAGAAGAGAATATCGCGATACATCCAATAAGTTCTGGAGTCCACAAGAATTCAATATAATTGACTTCCAAGTCTCCTTTTCAGAGAACCCGTCATCAAGCTCTTCTCCGATTCTCAGGGAGAACAACTCATAATTCATCGGGAGACGGGTATTCTTGATTCCTCCACTTTTGAAGCGAACATCCAACAGAAGAAACGAGGGCAGTGTCATCATGAGCGGATCAGGGCCGTAATCAAAACTGTTTCCCGAAGTCGTGTCCTCTCATCTTGGGGGTCGTGAGAGGACGGGATGATAGATTCGATGAGATATGCAATTCTGCGGAGAAGCTCTCTGAATCCTTGGATCTTCGGAATTGCGAGAACATGCATAAACCTCTCACCCCTATTCTTTACGACGGGTTTGTTCGGTCAACATAGATGTTGAAGTCGATATTTTCACACGGGTTTCACCGACTTGTGGATACCAACGTCCTTAAGTACTTAATTCATGTGTTACATCTGATCTCCAGTTCGTTCGGAGGAGAAGGATGCTGTGAGCATGCAGAACGCGCGGGCCCTATCGATTCGTGTCGGAGGCCTTCTGCCGGTGCTCGAATTCCCGCTCCTCATAGAGGCTACTCTCTTAGTTTCCCACGCCGGGTCCTGATGTGCGCGTCGTCTTATCAGCATCTAGTACCTGTGGAGGGAATGTAGCCATATTGAAAATTAATCACTTGGACTGCCACTGACCAAGGCCGGAAGTGGATTAAATCTTGAGAAATCGTGATTTTCTCAAAAATATGTCTCGGAGCTCTCATCACACATCATTGATTGACGCTCCTGTGATGGCGCCCGTCCGAGAGATATTTGCTCATAAACACAGAGAGATTCAATTCAACCTCAACCGTGCCAGTACCACTTTTCACCGATCACAATTTCTCTTGCCCTCAACCTCGATGGTGGGACACAATACAGTCTTGCTCCCACGTACGATAAGTCAGCGCTGATTTGCACCCGAGACCGCCCGCCAGACACGCCGTGAATTCCTCGCTCGAATGGAATACTCTCTCTGTTTCTCGTCCGAAATATGACACCGCGCGAAAATGCTAAATTCCGGTATTGGAGTTGCATTTTCTCTAATAAGCGTAAGTTCGACTCACATAATCTAGTCGTTCAACAGACTGTCACTCTGGAAGTTGTTAATAAATTCACTCCCATCTTGATCACCACTCGTGAATTAGTAAGAAGCAGGGATCGATGAGAGGAATAATAATTTTTTAACACTTAACGATAGAAAGATGCCGAGCGGAGGATAATCGCTTACTTAAGCAAGGCGGTGGTTTTCTCATCCCTGAAGAATCATTGACAATAGTCAGAAAACAGATCAGATAATTACTGTCGATTCCCCTCGATATGTTCTGGAGCAATCGTTTTCATCCTCATAGGACTGATCAGATCAATGCCAGTCCTGTGTACGGGAGTACTTTTTTTTCGAAAACTCCTTGAACTACCATGGATTTTCGGAAACTTCAGCTCGTACCCGATTGGGTTTCTCCAAACTGTGACCCGGTCATTCACTGTGACTCACCTTACGGGCTCTCCCCGAGGCTGCATGTTGTAGACGAGGTTGTTGTCGCGACGTCGGCGTTCCTTAGAGTTGAACGCTTCTTTGAGAACGACGCACGCCGTGAAAGCGTGGAAGAACATCGCAACCACTGCGAAAGCGTATGCCCATCCCAGGTGGTTGAAGTTCGGATATAGAATCCACTGACGGCTGAACGCCATGCCTCCGAAAACGGACACTCCCAGGAATAATAATAGAGCTGTCAAAGCTTCCAGGACGAAGGCTGCTGTGAGCGCAACAATCTCGTAGCGTAATAGATACCGCATCAGCAGGAGACTCAGGACAATCAGCGCTAGTAGTTGGAATATCAGTCCCAGCGTCAGCATGGCCTGCGTGAACATGAACCATCCTGAAAAAAATCCTCATTCAGTTTAATACCGATCGATTGATTCCCCGACTCGTTCTCTCTACGCTCCCTTGGGGATTATCCCTTTTCATCACGAAGGATGACCGATATACAATCTCCCACCCTGTCCGCGTATTCTACGCTCGATCGCGGAAAAATTGATGGAGGATGGTCGGCTCAAGAGCTCGCCAAACATTAAGGCGAGATTGTGTCTTGCCGACTTCGGTCCATGCAATTTCGTGACTCGTAGTCCGTATCGGGCATTATTTGTGTCAAACCTACGCGTATCCACGCTCCTGACGGCTGTTGTTCATGATTCTTGTATTGTTCTAGCCAAAGGCTCCTTTCCAAATACCCATAATTTCATTATCGCGGCACGAGCAGCTGACAAGCCGCGAGGAACATGGAATCGGAGGTCTGAATTCTTTGTAACAACGACCGCGTTCGGGACAGAGCAAATCCAAAAAAGTTCGATGGGTTATGTGTTTGTGTCGAGTCGATTCGATGTGAATTCGGTCTTGATTTCCGGTGCCAGGAATTCGAGACAGGAGAAAGAACCCATACACCATATCGGAGCTTCCTTCCCCCAAACGCTTTCCGTCAGCATTCGGTTCCCTTTTGAATTCGGCGTTTAGTTATAGAGAGTACTCGGAGTCAAGGGTTCCGGAGGAGGGAGTTGTGTCTGTAGCGGACTCTCACGACTTACCTGGCATGAGCCAATCTCTGATGTTCTGATAGTAGTATCCGTGAATCCAGTGACAGCCATCGAACACTTCATCGTACTGATACGGTGGATGCATGTATCTGCTGAAGCACACTTCCCAGAGTCCTAGCCGTCTAAAGGCTGTCTCGCTTCGCGGTTCCTCGTAGGATTCGAGCCAGTACGGAGCAGCGTACGCAACCAAGAGGAAAAGCGAAGAAATGAAAGCCATCCATCCTGCGGCCACTAGCAGAGGAGTCGCCCGCGGATATCGCGCAGGTCGCGAGGACGCTGCCGAAAAGCGATCCATGGATTTATCGTCCTTGCGATCCTGTTTCAGATCTTTGCTATGAACACTTTCAGACACAGTGAACGAAACGTTGTCGAGCGTAGTCCCTTCGGCAGCGGCTTCGTTGCTGGTGGCCACCGACGGGAGAGGAGGCTGGGAGGCGCCCATGGTGTTCGCGGCAGAACAACGTCAGCTTTCGAACGCGTTACGTCGGACTGAGCGACCGGCCGATCGGGAAGTTTCATCCGTGTACTGGCGGACTGTTTTGACAACGGTTTCCATGGATGCCGCGCGATTCTCGACAGGTGATTCGTCCGCGCTTTCCTTTTTTCCTCTAGAGATCACAGAGTCACCTCTCCTCATTTCCCCGATGTCACGGACTTTCGGAAACAGAAGAACATGCGAAGTTCTTCGATACGCGGTGCTGTTAATCAGGAACGAGCGCGCGCCTCGTTCCCCATCGACAGATCGTTCCTCTGACGACTTGTCGGAAAGCCCTTGAGATTTTTCCCCTACGATTACTGCCAGCGTTTTTTATAAGACTGACATTGCCACGGCTCCAGTAGAATTCCAAGAGTGGCTCTGCTAATAAAACAGTGGGTACTCCAAGGGTGGGGAGTGATCCCGTTCACCCCGAGATTTCGGCAATATCCGGATCCTACGAAGAAACACCAGGTTCAAACTTCAAGCTCTCCAAGGCGTAATTTTCGATGAGTCGTAGACGATACTGAACAGGGATCAGGGAATGCGTATAGTGTGACCTGATCGTTAGTTTATCGCGGATCGCGATGTCTAGAATCATTGTCGATCCAATGCGAACCGCATCTCGACTCTTATTTGAATGAGCTATTTGGCGAGTCCATCCTGATGAAACACGGCTGTGTAGGCGGGGTTCTTCTGTGTGAACGAGCCCTAACAGTCACGAATGCTGCGGGAGTAATCGTCAGGGAAAGTCAATGAGAGAAATCCCCCTTCGCGGGTGTGCTTCGCGAAATCCACATCCAGGACCTTCCTGGAGGCATCTACCATTATGGCGTCTGAGTACACGATCAGGCGCATCGTGAGCCAGGCCGAGCACAGAAACGTGTAAGGACGCGAGTTGCGACACCTAGAAAAGCCTCTCTTATGAAGCTCGAGAAATTTGAGATGGCGTGTCATATACCATACCGCGAGCAATGCTGCCGAAGGATGAAGATACCGAGGATTGATGAGCTATCCGGCATCATTCTCATTCCAACACTTCAGACGGCGTCTCTACAAGGGAACATGCCATCAGAAATCATGACTCATCAAAAGTATCTTGCCTTTTGAAGTTTTATCATATAATAGAAACTCCAGGATCGAAGCAACATTATTACTCGTATTTATTAACTTTCATGATGGCGCGGTGGGCGCGATTAGTAACTACTATTGACGTTCAAACGAGTACATATCGTCATGTTACGCATCACATGGAGCTTAAGGAAAGTCTCGAACACCGCAGTCCCCGCCCTGATTTCTATCCGATCTCCTACGCGCTTGTTTTCGGTTGGTTCTGCTAGACGCATTCCCCTTCATTCACCTTATACCCCGAGACGGTCACTCCTCGGCGACGCCGAAGTCGGCGTTAGGAATCCTCATACATCCCTACGGTTTGGGAAACATCTGTCAAAATGGATGTCGAATGATGAACTGAGCCTAAGCTCATTCTCAAAGCTGGAGATCCACTCGGGGTCCAGATGACGGGACGGGAGTCGAAGATGATCAGTGGACCAGCTCAGACTCATTTGGCATGGTCACTCCTTGGGAATCAATGCACTGACATGATGGGTGATGAGATCGCGTCACTCCTGCACCGGCATCGCGCATAGCGTCGATATGCTGAATAGCTCCTTCCATTGATTCGCCAACTGATATCTACATCTCCAGTCGAACGGACGCTCTCGTACATAGCTCTTCCAGCCTCCTTGTTGCGTTGATCGTGACTCGTGATTCTTCACGTGTACCATCGTCCATGACTGTCCGAAGATAACATCTTATGACGAAAACTGCGTCTTTACGCTCTACCTCACGTTCAACTGCGACCGAAGGTAATCGGGCCATCAAAAATGTCCTTCGAGCTAACTAAAGGAGGGCTTCGAAGCGATATTAGCCCTATCAATTGTCGCTGGGGTCGGGAGACCGATGGAAGAAAATAGAGTTCCAACGGATCGAAGCCTCGACAGGAGCAGATACATGAGGGAGTTTAATCCGCCACCGATTTTATTTGACGCAATCGATTCCCGAATTCAGCAGGAAACTATCATCATTAGAAGCTGTAATCCCTTCGGTGAGCTGGAGCAGCAGTGGGTGTGCAGGTGAAATTCAAAGTCTTTGGTTACGTTCTCCGCGTGTCTCAAGCTGCTGCAGAACCATCGTGACAAAACTAAAATCCACCTAGTTCTTCGAAGCTGTTGAGATTCGTTTGCGCACATTCAACACGCAGAGCCGAGTCAGGAGTCGGAACTCAGACCGATCTCCTGACCGATGCACCGTATTTTATTTTTATTCATTTTTTTTACTTTTTGCGTTTCATTAGCAAAATTTTCCGGTGACGAGCGCTCAAATCCCAGGAACTCTTCCCCCTCCTCCCTGCGGATACCAGAGCCCCCTGATGAGGTGTGGCGGGAGGCAGACATTGCGTCTCTGATTTATAGGAAGTTTTTCCGGGATCAATGACTATCGGCATCGAAATGTGCGTTATGCTTCATGATTCCTAGAATCGGAGGACCGAGTCTTTCGAATATATCCGCATCTATGTGGCACGAGGCTCCCTCCGTTCTTGGAGACATCTCTCGGACTCAGTCCGAGGTCGTTGGTGGATGCTACTCTAATATGACCCGGAGACCATCCCTTGCTCTCCTCAAGGTCATTCTCGTCAGGTCTACATCGACGTTCATGTTTACAACTTTCGGAGAGAGATCCGAATTCCTCCAGAAAATACGGACTGAAGTTATTGGAGATCATTGAATTCAGAAAAAAACTCGAACCGACCGCGTGTACCGTCGAGCTGCGGCTCCAGGATCGAGAGCGAGCAGCCTGATCACGAGACAGTGCGAAGTCTCCTGTGGAGCGAGCATCGGGGTATCCTGTGAGTGTGGTTTCTTCCACCGGTATCTTTCCGTTGCGCCGAGGAGCTGTATGCTGTCGAGCTTGAGCCCATCAGGGAGTTCGACTCGGACCACCAGCTTCGAACATCGAGTATAGTCGAACAGGGGCGTTGTCGCAGAAACCAGCGCCATCCCTCACCTAATCTCCTCTGAACCTCCCCATTCTCTTCCTCGGAAGACAGAGATTTTCTGCTCGGAGACTACTCCTTCCTTCATGTTTTTTGAGATCACAGAACGATTCCGAGTATTCCTCATGGAGTCTCGGAGTCGAGAATCTGTCGACCCTCAGTAAACGTAGTAGTAGTGAGCCGACAGATGTCTATCCTCAGGCGAGCAAGACTGTTCCGCAGTCTCGGTGTTCGAAGCTTCTCATTCGGACATTCGATATGGAGTTGCTCAATGTATGAGAATCGTACATACATGTACAAGCGGAGCGAATAGTGCTCCGACATCGGACACCAGAGAAGAACCTTGCTGTATATACAGATATGTACAAAATTGCTCCAATGGGATCAAATCATCTGCTCACGTCGGACGAAGATAGCGACCTCCAGGAGGGTTGCCATCCGCCACGGATCACTTATTCTCTGATTCGAAAGTCTGGGTTTTCTTAGAAGTATCCGACCTACTCCTCCTCCCCTGATCGTCGTGATGGATCCCCTGCGGGAATTGATTTTCCCGAGGATACTAAACATGACTCCGTCAGACTAACTAAATGCTGAGGGAACGGACAGCGGAGCTCATACGGACTGAGCTAGACGGCCTGCATGAGTTCACCCCGTACAATGGACGTCAATTTCAGATCGTGGTCTCTAGCGTGTTGATCATCTGGGCCTTAGTGGGTTCACCCGGATTGCGCAGCCAGCCGGTGATGAAAAGTTCCCGGAATGTGTTCCTGAACTGCTTGCTCATGCCGCAATATATGGCAAAATTCAACGGATATGTCGTCAGCAACGAGAAGTTGACGAGAGTCAGGATCGTGTTCAAAGTTTTATAATCGCCCGATATGATCTGCAAGAGATTTCCATGAGAAATAGGTGAAAGGAATGACTAATTTCTGATTCCGGTCAATATCTCGCCCGTACACCTTGACCCCATCGTGCGCAGTGGCTGAGAGATTCCGAAGTAATGAATTGAATGCCTTACGTCGTTGTTGTGGAGAGCGTGAATGAACACGACGGTAGTCAGAGGAATCTCAGTGGCGAGGAACATCGTAACGACGACGATCAGCATCAGGGTTGTACTCTGCGAATCTCGGTTCCGCTTGCTCGACTGTCGACGGAAGAATCTTTCTATGAGAAGCTAATTCGACGCGTCCATCATAAGTGTCCTGGAGGCCTGACGATTATCACGTTCTCTGCCGCCAGTGAAGAAAACTAATACTACGGAATCCCTGCCCCTGATACTGACCGGTTTGTTCTTGTCTTGTAGCCTCATTTTGTTCTCTTTCGCTCGTCGCAAAGCTAAGAATAGCAGGATATTGAGTACAACCAGGACGATGCAAGGTATGAGGTTAACGAAAACCATCTGTAAAATTAACTCTCTCTGATACCAATCCGTCTAGGCTAGCCGGAGGAACTCGTCAGGAAGTATCCTGAGCATACTCCAGAAGCGGCATGTTGGACATCTAGCAACAAGTGTCATAGAGCGCCAAGCCTAATAACTTCTGTCACGAAATTCTGCTCTTCCTTTCCGCTAATGTGTCGTGTCGAAGGCACTCACCTTGAAGGAATAGTACACATTATAGAAGACAGTAGGGGTGAAGAACAGCAGCCAGTTAGCCTGTTTCTTAGCGCACACAATCGATAAGTTGCCGTCGTGGGGGAGAGTGATGTCGTAGAAGGTCACGTCGAAAAATTTTGGAATCATGTGACCGAACGCGAAGCAAGTGATCGCGACAATGGTTTTACACACGTTCGGGACGGTGCACACCGTCCTCGCAGTCGTTGGATGACAAATGTATATGTATCTCTGCACGGCGAGCAGGACGGTTAGCCAGATCGAGGTGGTTCGGAAGGTGTTCGGCAGCATTTCGCACATCGTATGATAAGCGAGACACAAGGATGAGGGCCCCAGGGCCGATTTATGATTGCCCATCGTGTACAAATAAAAGAACCAAGGCGCTGGGAATGTCAATGTGAACATGTCGCACACTGCCATTGCCAGGAGAACGATGTTCGTGGGCGTGATCATGTGTCTCTGCGAGAGAACCACTGCCACGAACGTATTAGCTACGATTGTCAGAATCATGAGAGGAGGCATCGCGTAGCCGTACAATGGCATCGCGTACTCGAGCGGCGGGCCGTAGCGACCGACATGGACCAGGAAGTCCAGTGGCTGATCGGTGCTGTTCGTATCCATGGAGAAGTTCGAGAAGCTCGGAAGCGACAAGCTCTCTTCTGAGTGCATCGCACGGACAACTGTGAGACGACGATGCGGCCGATGTGAGTCTACGCAGCGGGAGGACCACACAGCTGAACCCGACCGATCGCAGGACGAGTGAGGGTCGGCTGTTGAGGTTCGGAAGAGCGGAATCTCATCGGCGCATGTGCGGGCCGAGGAGTCTGTAACGCAAGAAAGGAAAGCGACCTGAATCCTACGTGAACTTCCTCAAGTGAACTAGGATGGGAGCAGGACCGGGGAAATAGTTTACCCTGCTCTTTCGCTCTTGGACTCCGGGAGCACTTCAATCATCGCGAGGATTCTCGCCAACGGGCCCTCCGACCTAAAGGGAGGAGGCGTATTTCGCTCTCAGTAATAAATTGTCTTGTGGAGTCTGAGCAGAGAGAAGCAGTGGCTCAGAACTTTTAGAATGATTTGACGCGCCGCAGCCTCCATCGACGGACTCACTGGCGATCTTAGGGGTTCGGATTAGCCCCCAAAGAGCACATTTTTTCGGAAAACGTAGGAGGAGTCCAGTATCTCCTGAATCCTAAACAGAAGCTCCAGCCCAGCGAGCCGAATGACCAAAAAGGCAGAGGGCTCGCGGTGCTACACAATGGAATCCGGACTCCCCGTTTGGAAAAGCGGACCCAATCTCCCGACAGGTGGCTGGGTAATTAGATTTCTCGAGGGTCATGCGCGATCTATGACGTTCACATGAGCGAGTATCCTCAGCTGATTAAGCATTCAGTCCTCCATTCCAGCCAGCGCATCATCGTGTTTTTTTCCCGACGTATTGAGAACAACTCTATTCCAGCGAGACAGCTCATGAGAGAAGGAAAAAGACGGAATCAAAGTATAGGAACTTCTCACGCACGGCACTGTTATCAAGTACCTCTCGGAGTCTAAGGAATGAGGAGAGATTCGATGATTTGTAGCAATCCTCGCCTACCGTATAATGATCACCAAGTAAAGGTCTCAGATTCCTCGGCAACTCACATTAGCTGCTACTGGAGAATTTACCGTCAAATTTGGACGAATCACGTCATCTTGCCCTGAGGCTCCGTGTTTTGAGCGATTGGCTCCCTCAGCGTCTCCGGAGAGGAACCCTTTCCCCTGCGAACCGAGAGCGAGCGCAGGACAGAACGTCTATTGAGTAAGAGACAAGCGCGAGCCCATTCTTTCGAACCGGATCAAGATACAGACTCCTCGGAAACTCAGTCGTCATAACACTTTCTAATGTCCATCACGGATTATGCTCCTTCTCGACCGTAATGAACCATGGGAAGCCCGAGGGAAATACTTTGCCCGACTGAAGATATCATATAGAAGTAATGTGGTCCCGCCATCACACATGAGATCAGATCAGTGTACTGGGATATTCCTTCCTTTCGCATTGTGAATCGGTTTTCGCGACTCTACCGTATTCCTCAACTCCGATTTCTTTCGAGATTCACTGTGATCGAGTTCAGGGACAGGAGGACTCACGAATGAAGAGCTTTGAAACGTCGAACGGAGGCGCGTCCATCTCATTAGAAGACACTGAACATCTCTAAGCGATTGCGGGCTCCATCCTGGATCTAGGCTTTATTGAAGTAAAGCTTTAGCTGCGGCTGAGAGCTTCGTTTTACGGCTCTTCAGTTCATTCCGTCGGTCCTACCATCGTTATCGCTGGCGCCTGCGTGGAGCCTGACTCGCCCTCCGAATCTTGATCGCGACCTCTTTTCTCGAAAATTGGAATTATTTGAGCGATCCCGGGGCCGCGGCTCTCGGCTGACCGAGCGCCTCCGACTACAATCTGCTCGAGCTTATCGCGAATCAGAGCACGAAATTCGGAAGAGGAAGTCGGAGGTTTACATTGACTCCTCGCCGGTTTCGGACTCCAGGATCGTCGGCCGACTCAAATCTGCTTCACTACCGATAGATTTCATTAATCGATTCGATGTTTCAAAGCGTCATAACTACCACTAGAATTTCTACGATTCCGTGTTAAATTCTGCCTATGTACAAAGGAGCCCTCTGCTGGAGACCTCCCATTTCAAGAGCAGCATCTTGCAGGGGACCATGATGAATCGATTCCAAAACACCAAGAATTACTCAGTTTCATATTTATGGATGTACTTCAAGAAACAGAGAAAAAAGTATCAAGGTGAAATTATTTGTTCAAATAAAATTTTGCTGTAGAGGTTCTTGTGGTTACTGTTCTTAATGTAACCTTGCAGTGCTTGTTGATGTTCTTGATCTTATTCAGTTGTTGATCTGATAGCTGTCGTTGCTGTCGTGGATATATGAGGGGTATAGAACCCGTCGGAGTTGCTGTAATTGCAGTCGTACGAAATACATTCATGGTTGACATCATCATCATCATAATTATCTTCTTTCATTCAGCGACTTCCAATCGGAACGACTCCTCGATGCTGGACATGATTCATTCATTGTTGTCGGACGCCCCCGCAAGATTTCTTCAGCAGACGTTGTCGCTCTTGTTGAATTCGTCTACGCGACATCATGCGGTTGTCGTTATATTATAACAGTCGTGGTTGCTATTGACGTTGTGGTAATCATTTTGTTGGTGGTAAATTTCTTTTATGCTTGCTTTGTATCCGCCGATCGAATGTTGTGAGGAATATTGACTTGTTGCGTTTACTTCTTCTCGGGGTAGGGTCCGGCGAGGAGGGTCTTGGCGAAGTCTGCGGGTTCATTTCAAGAATTATTCTTCATTAGTCATTCAAGGAGAAGATATATCGGGGCTTTAACCGGATAGCTCCCGAGATAGCTGCTCTCCATAGTCAATAATTATTCTCCCGATCCGGAAGACCTCCTCGGTACTCACGCTGGTATTTGATGAATCCTTCTTCGTCCTGGGGTCCGGCGCAGGAGGCCATGACCTCATCGACTTCTTTGTCGGTCATGACTTCACCGAGAGACAGGAGCACGTGTTGCAACTCAGCGGCCATCAAGGTTCCGTTGTCGAGTTTGTCATAGACCTTCAGTCCCTCAATGAAGTCGTTCAGCGTTCCCATGTCCTTCTCCTTCTTGAGCTGGGAGTAGATGGGGAGGACCTCCTCAATGGTCAGCTTCTTCTCACCGCGGTTCTTGGTCTGTCCAGCTTTCTCAACCATGGCCTCGGTGATGCGAAGGTCGAGGGACCTCATGAGGGAGCCGAGGTCGGCGGCGTCCATCTTGCCCTCAGCGAAGGTGTCGTAGATCTCGAAGTGCAATTTGCACACTGGAAAAGAAGCGCGGCTTTACAAATCGAGAAAACATCCGGAGACTTGCGGTGCGGTACGCGCTTCCGACCTCTTTCGTTTACGACGTCCCCGTCGCGAGAACACTAGGGGTCCGCCACCGTAATGGCCGGCCCGTTGGCCAAAGAGCGGCCGGGCCGGCAACCTACAACCGACCCAGAGCCCACTCGTCTCTGGGTTCGGCCAGTTAGTTGGCAGAATGCCCGGCATTCTTTTGCAGCCATCCAAAAAAGGGACCAGCTTCCTATCGCGGTAGTGTGGGCGATTCACACAACCGAGCAGACAATGCTGACTCGCTTCAATGGAGACTCGATACGTTTCCGACCTCGCTCGGCCGCGAGAATAATCGAGTCTTTCATATGCGATTCATAACCAGAGAACGACCCGGAAGTGAATTTGAAGAGCCTCATTGGGAGAGTAGCGGATCGCGGTGCGAAGGAGTTTCCCCGAAATGGGAACGGCCGATCGACTCATTTTCCAAAATCAATAACCCCCACTCTTTGGGACAAGGGAATCCTTTGGACGATCTGTGTTCAGGAAGAAACCTCTCGTGCAAGGCCTCGAATGTTGATTGGAAGGATACGAGCTTTCTCAAAGAATAGAAATCGAAATGATACTCACTGTCGACCTCAGCGGGCTTAAGATCGGCCTGCAAGAGAGAAGAATTTAAGTTCTTCGAACTCCGGAGAATGGACTTAATTCACAGACAGGCAGACGGTCTCAAGGAAACTCTGCCAGTAGGGCTCTTTCCGTTTCCGTTGGGAGTCCGGAGAATCACAGTGGCCCACATTTCCGGCTGAACTCAGGGCAGAATTCTCATGAGCAATTTCATCCCGGAAGCGAGGGACCTCTCATTGAGATATGCAAGGGCATGAGCTGGCTCTCTGGGCTCGCTGCGTTCCTCAGCAAGGCAAGCTCGCCTAAATTTCCGCTCGCCGGGATTCCTCATGGAGAATTCGTAGAGGCGTCGAAGTTTCGGAGCACTGCTATAAGCTGGTAGACACAGCGGGAATTCCACAGAGCACTTGATTGTAATCCTAGGAGAAGGTGACCCATCCATTGGGTCGAGATCGTGCTGAGGTATCCGCCACTTCTCATTCCACGAGACAAGTTCGATCCGAAGCTTTGGATTAGGTGATTGATGGACATTTGTGAATTCGGTTTCCGACTCACCATTGCTGTGATTAGATGGTGTTGACGATGAAGTCGCTAAACAGACTGGTCTCGAGGGCACAAAAGACGCGGCCGAACTGAAGCCGAATTTCGTCTAGAGCCACTTTTAGGGCGAATGCTCATTCTCGCCCGGGTTATCCTTTCCTCTGGAAAATATCCGACTTCCAACCCTCGCCAACAGGTTCGAGCCTAGCGGTCTCTGACAGACTATTTTTAGAGCTTGCAGCCGCTTTCTCCACTGGGGAAGCACTCTAGCTAGCGGGAGAAGTACGCACCGTTCATCCGACCATGCGAGTTAAGGTCTCGACTCTCGATGCTCTGGGAAAGGCAGGCCCACGGCAAACAGGTCCACGTTTGCCTCCCGATGGAACAATAGTCGCGCATCCGGCGTCCTGGATATGGTGGAGTTTTCGGCGGAGATGCGAGTTTGGACTCAAGAAAAAAAATATCCCTCTCCCAACATCTTGATACCCGGTGCCGATCCCTGCGATTTCGGGAAAATTCCTCTGATCAATATTCCTAGTTGTTTTAGATGACGACCCCTCGACCTTGGTACGGGACGTAATGTTCGTGGGTCCTCTTGAAAACTCGAGAAAAGCCTCGGAAAGCTAGTCCGTCCGACAATAAACATACACGTGACTTTCACGCCTGCTCGATCTCCGAGAACCCAGATGATAGTTATGTCAGATGCCGGTCGTGGTTCCGAGTACGATTTGCTTGACTTCTTCCGACATGTGTGTAATTTGACTCAGTCAGGATGACGAGGCTGCCCATGTCGGGCCTATTATTTTCCGCCAATCATCCTCTCATTCAATCATTATTGTCATGGCTCAGTGCAGCATCGGAATCAAGGGTTCCGAAACCCTGAAATACATATATGTGTATCTGTCCAGAGATCTTTATCCGCTTCTGGCAATGTGACTAATTTCTCCCGACGGGAACCCGGAAGTAGTCGATGTGTAGTGGTCTCACGCGGACTCTCGCCGGAATCATTGCTTCCCCCTCCAGATGCGTGAAGTCGACGAGTTTCTGATGCGGAAGCGATTCAGTGGCGTCGAGGTCAGATTTGTTTTGAGCGGCTTTGCGGGAAAGCGAATGTGTTGAACTCCGGAGAATTCCAGGTGGCGCGTTGCTATCGGAGACGCCCGCTCGCCGGTCTTGCTTCGTTTCGAAGCGAGTTCGTTGCGGGAGCAGCATTCGAACGGACTCCCTACCTGACCCAGGGCCACCGGCTGATAGACTGAGTGTGGCCATACAACAGCGACGACGACGACAACAACAACTACGACGCGAACGAAGCGGAGGAAGGCTTTTTGGGTTGTGCCAGGGGCAGCTCACCCGGCCGCGGTCGGCCTGTGTAGCCGGCACGCAGGCAGGCACGCAGACAAACAACACATGATTCTGCCTCTCGTCAGCGGCTAGCCGTCCATAGAGGCATCCGATTCACAGGAGAGACCTTCGAGAGATCGCTTTTGAAATCGCTCAAGTGCCAGCGTGCAATTCCAGGACCCTCCCCATATTGAGCGCTCTTCCTTCGAGACTCTATTGTCGGATGGCCGAGTGATCTCTCGGTGATCAAATGGGTGATGAAGGTCCTTCCGTTCTGAATGATTGCTGACCAATTTCGGTGTATCTGATCACATTCGCCGTATACTCGAAACTCCTTCCGTGCGTCGGACTAAGGGACACCTCTGCCTGACCGAACAGAATCAATCCCGCGTGGCGTGCTCATTCACAATCCACAATCCGAATGTTCCCAGCATGCGTCACAGCATTTCTATACCCCTGGACTGTATCGTGATCGCTTCAGCCCCGTGTTTTCGGGAGGGCTCTGGTCGGGAGCTTTGAGTGATCCGAGCGAAAGTCGACCCGCTCCTGAACTCCTTGCCTGACTTGCCATGGAGTGGTATGATGACGTTCAAAATTCACCGGCTCGCTAAATCTACGTTTTTCCTTCGTCTCGTCCTGAATCTGTTTCGGTCTAAGTAAGAGGAGTCGGGGATCGGTGGGGATGGAAATTGATCAAGACAAATGCTACTCCGAGGGGTCGAGATGTTGAATCTTTCATTTCTCGTTATCAAGGCATGCGTCCCGAAGCGCAACTCACATCCAAGACGACTTCAAGGCTTGCAGAAAACGGACAATCGAACAATCGAAGAGTCGAAAGCTCGAAAAACATCGAAGCAACAAATCGTATAACCGCATTAATCTCCTTCGGCTTATCTTCATTGCTCCGTCGACTCTGGCGATCAGGAGCTTCTTCGCGAAGCTCTCAAAGCAGAATCATCTTATAGTAGTCCGTTACATGCTTGAGATAATCCAGATCGGGCTGAGTCAGCTGGCCGCTCTGAGTATCTGCGAGAACGGAGTCGAGGCGTTTGATCTATGGATTGATCGATTATTAAGGCTTCCGAGAGTTTTTCCGCATAGAGACTCCGAAGGGCACCCGGGTTGCGATGCGGTGAATGCCCTGATGCCTATCGAAGCTCCACGGGAACTTACCGAGGAGACCACAAACTGCCAGCTCTTCGATAAACTGCGAGAACTTCTCAGGCTTGATGCTGTACGTAGAATTCCTGAAGTCTACTGTGAAAGTCACGTTCAGACTTCCCATTCCGTGGAGCAGTACATGTATGTTATCGAGAATCTGGAAACGATTCGGGGCGTAGCCTTGGCTCGGGGGTCATTTCCCAAGATACGGAACGCATCTGTAGACGCTGCGGACGATGCTTTCGGTGGAGCCGTCGACGAATGAACAAACCATTCGTACAAGGTTGATCCGTACCTTGTCGGCCTTGGTGTTCGGTGGCACCTCCGTGAATCCGTTATCAGCCACGGCTGCGTAGGATATCGTCAAGCCCCAGCAGATGATATGTATCATGGTCTCGAGTGCTGAAAAGAAAATTTGCGAACCTGGAGCGATAAGGTGCTCAGAGTGGTAGGCAAGTTCCTCAGCGCAAAAATTTCAGTCGTAAATTTGTATGGACCCAAGTCGGGCTTCTTCGATAGCCACCTCAGCCCTACCGTATGCCGGAGTGTTGTGTTTCTGAGCCCAATGGATTACAAGTCGACTCCCGCAGCGAGAGAACACCTGAGTGGCGAATGCTCGCGCCCTTACGCTCTCGACTGGATTCAACTCTCGGAATGTTTTACACACGTGGAATCTCTGCCGATAGTAAGTTCGATTCCAATCGATTGGTCGCAGCTTCTTCGTCTTCGCTGAGTCCGCTGATCCGGAGAAGAGACACAGAACGAATAGAGCAATCGGAGTTCTCATTTCCAGGAGAATGATCGAAAATTCGGGAGAACTCGTGTGTCGGGCAACACTCCCCGAAACTCAGCCCTGGGTCTGATAGCTCTCATCGACGAGGACCGAACAATCTGAAAGCTATCATGCCAGACGAGGAAACTCTATGGTCACTGAGGAGGTCACATCTGAGATGAGTATCACCGCGCTCGATCAATTCTGTGGATGGACTACGACAGGTCTCAGCTGATCAATCTTTCATCCGAGCTCCTGCTTATTCGATTTCCGGGATACTCTCATAATTTTGATCGTCTCCCGTTCATGAGCAGGCCTCGGACCGCATCTGGGGCAACATTCATTGGTCCAGCGTGATTGGAAGCGCGATGCTCTCACGTATGTGAAAATAAGGATCTCCTTAATTTCTCGATTTGGGGTTCGACGTCCCACATGACCCATGTTGACGGTATTTATTGAGATTGGCGTCGCTCGATTTCGTTGCTTTCCTCCACCGTTGAACGAGGCATAATTTATTGGTAGGTACTCGCTTAGACACTAGATAGCCGACTACGAGGGCCGTGCCGGCCGGGATGCCGTTTCAACAGGATTCGAACCGTGATCTGTTTAGCACCTAGAAAATGGGATGATCCGCTCGTATGAGGTGCTGATAGAAGGGAAGGCGACATTGTGAAAGGACAATTCCAAGTGCCTTTGAAAACCACTACGCTTGTCAGACGGGAGTACCGTCCGGGACAGGGTTCTCGCCGGCATCCGTTTTCCGACGATTGTTTTGGCCTGGCAGAGTCCCGACATGTGACCCTTGAAGTATTGCAATTATTTCTTCATGCTACTTGAGAGTGAGACTGCGAACAGCTCCTCAATTCTCAATGAAATTCTACATCCTTTCAAAGCGAAAGAACTAATCCTGTAACCCTTGGCCAGATGATCAGCAAGAAGTCCGATCCGGGATCGTGCGTCGTGCGATGACGCTACCAGAGTATTCAAATTGCAAGAAACAGCCTCATTCATGACGATTAGCGAGCGACAGAAAGTCTCGCCGAACCCACGGATTCCTCACTGCTTCCGCTAGATGGCACGGAGAGCTATGTACTCTCTCAGGAGATGGGGATCCAGAGCGAACGAGTGGTTCTGACAGGGCGCAGGGTAACCGGAGCGGGCGTGGAGCCTGAGGCCTGACGTGATTTGGAGCGTGAAACCGAATGGATGCATCCTGAGAGCCAATCGAGCTCTCATGGAAAAAGCGGGAAACCAGTCCACAGAGACATAGGTACACCTACACCCTATGCCAGCATCTGCAGCTCGGAGCAAATCGCGGAGCAGTGGGTACTGGGAGAAAGCACCGGGGAACTCGAGTAAATCTACAGATTTCCGATAGATGATAGCGTATACTGGACACTGGATGATCCAAGTCCTGCAGAGGCTTTCGGAATGAGTCTCTTCGTGAAACTCAGGTAGTTCAGCGAAAGTCACCGATTTTGACAGAGCGCAAAGCGCGCCTCGGAGCGCCGGCAACGATGATCTTTGCTGTTTGAGCGCCTTTCGGCATCGGGCGCGTGGCGGATGTGAATCTCCGAGTACGGTTCTGAATGGCAGGAAATTCAAGTATCTGTGCAGAAGGAAGAGCTTGATCGCTCTCCGAAGAGTCGGGACGATGAATTGCATTGGAAGGATCGAATACTCAAAGTGAAGTGGTCGATTCCGACGGAGCGTGATCAATGCCGGCCGCGAACAACAGCGCACCGCACGAGGAATGCTGGAATCTGACGAAAATATACAATGATGATGCTGATCACAATGATCGTCGTCGTCGTCGGTGCTGCTGTTTGTTGTTGGCTGTATGCATTGTGTCGATGATGTGTCTAATCCTGTAGACAAACTCTGTCGAGTGTCAACGAACGCAGAGGAGGCCGCACAGTAAACCGGTGCACAGTTCCGTAAATTCGGAGAAATGACGACGCTTTTCCTCGAGCCGAACTGAAGCGACGGAGCACTTTCCTGGGCAGACGCAACAGGCATCTGCCTCGAAACGGCAGATTCACGGAAGTCTCAGGGAACTCACGGTGTGCCTTTCGAGATTTCCATGGATTCAAGAAGACTCGCTCATTGACAGAGGGAGATAACGACCGGCTTGAAAAAATTGTGACTCGCTCTCGTTCGGCGTTGAGTATTCCTGACAATTCTCTGCGATGCCTAACATATATCAGGACGTGGGTCAGATCAAAATCACGCCGAGAACGGCAGCTCAAGTAATCGATCTGAATCAGCCGCCACGTCCAGAGGAAATATCGGCAAATCTCCACCGGCATCAGCAGAGCCTCCTGTCACAGCGCAGCATAAGCACGCCCCCGACTTCACTGTCAGCGCCGGAGCTCCCTCTAGGAAGGCGCCAAGCTGCGCCGGGGAGGTCTCGGAGCTATAACTCTGAGCTGAGCGAGATCTACAGACCTCCTCCGAACTATCCTGGGAATCGTAGAATGGGTGCTCCTCTATACGAGAACCTCTATCAGTCGGCGGTTCCACAGACCGCGGCGCCACCGCCCCCTCAAGGGGCGTCATCACAATCGGGGTCCAGCGTCTACGATTATCGTCGTCAATCTCCACGTTCTTCGTTGTCTTCAGATTCCTCACCTCACGAATCTATGTTGGAACCCCCACCCGCGTATTCCACCCATCTGAAACCCCCTCAACCCCTACCGGGCCAACCACCTATATACGACGAACCTCGCCGACCTGAAAAAAGCACCGCCCCCGCCTCCCCGTACAAACCTCCGCCAATCCAACGGAGAATCGAAGAGCTGGAAAAGGAATTGCGGAATCCCAGTGCGGCTCCATTGCTGATGTCTCTCTCCGGCTTGAACCTGCGAGGAGTTACCGGGGGCATTTCGCCTCCCGGAGAGGCACCTCCTGCCCCGGCTCCTCCCACTCCATTCATTCCACCTTCTAATCCTAAGCAAACCCAATCGCAATCACAGACCAATCTCAGTCAAGTGCAGTCCGAAACGTTGGGTCACCCACTTCCCCTCCCACCTCCGCCTCCGTATCCCGGAGCTTCGAGAAATTCGAAAGCCATGGCTACCGCGGCATCGGTTCAAGCGAAACTCGAGCGCATGACGAAGGAGATCGAGGAGGAAATGGAGAGGCAGCCTGCGGAAGGAGAATACTTCGGTGAGTAGATCAAGTTCCTTCTCCTGCTCCGCTTGTGGATCCTCAAAGGTCCGAGACGCAGACTTGCGATCACCTCAGACTATTCGTCGAAAAATTAAGATTGCATCCTGACCGCTAGCGACAGGTGACAAATTCGTCCGACGCGCGTTGACCGATCAGCTCTCGTTGACGTCTGATGAGCACTATTCTGGGCCGATTCTCGCCGCTTCCCGATGTTCTGCGGGAACCTAGCGGAACGAGGTTGACTGACAGGATACAGTTAGTCATGAAGCTTATTCGCGCTGAGAGGATTTTTCTGCCATTAACTACGAAAGCTCTCTGAGAAAGCGGGTTTCTCGAATCAGTGTCTCCTCAGTCACGAGTGTATATTTAGAAGCATATTCTGTGACCACCCAGGCTTGCTTGAAGTCAGCGCCCTGTGTGAGCTTCAAACCGCGATTTATTAAGGGCGCAGAGCGGTGATCTCCCAGGAAGTCCGTGTGGAAGGTCCCGTCGGTGCAGTGATCATGTCGTGAGGTTGGGGCTGGATCCGATATCCACCCCGCTAGGTGGACCATGGAATACCCAGCGAAATTCGTGGAGCAGCTTCTCAGCGGAATTTTCACACCCAGTGAGGCTTACTCTCAGTGAAGACATCGAGTTAATTTTGGAGCGTAGAACGCCCGGATGGAGTTATCCTCGAACCGATAACGAGATATCATACTGGAACAAAATAGCGGGATCAGTGACTGGATTCCGATGATGCGTGAGAAATTCTCTTTAATTCGAGGGAATTTCATGATTCCTCGGAAATTATTCTGAGGACCCCGATCTTCTCGACCTCCTATGCGCAGCTGTGCTTTCATTCGAGCATTCATTTTCATGCTCCGCTCAGAATGATGTCGAGGAGATAATTGTCTTCCCCGAACTGTCAGCTTCTTCTGCTTGTGGTTTACGAACCCTAGAGATTCAGGAAACAGTGACGGCGCGGCGTTGCCGAAGATCTTGAGCAACTTTGATTGTTTCTCGCGTAGATAATCAGGGTGAAATAATTCGACACGGCAAAACCGCTATCCCGAGCTACTGGTCGTCCTCGGAGCAAACTTCCTCTTCTGGGATGGATCTTGCGACCGAGAGTGAACATTATCCGGGACGATTCGCACGTGTATTACGCTTGCGTCGAGTCCTCTGGCTACGGCTCCGCGTCTTGCTTGACGACAATGGTGGCGACAATGAGGATTCAGCTGAAACAGGAGGCGTCCGGTGCTCTGTGCATTTGGCTGATAAAACTTTTTGCGTAGCAGTTGTTGTTGTAGTGGAAGGATCGAGGCCTGGAGGTCATACTAAACGTCTTTTCCGGTTCAATCCGGTCCACCCGAATCCAGCACATAATCAAGCCTTTGAGACTGCATGTGTGCGCAGCCACAATCTCAACGAGTGAGCACTTTCGTGACATCTCGAGCGCCTCTAGAGATACACTGCGACGTAGAAATGTCTCCCGAGCTCATTACGCGTTCCAAGATGCTCCGCGTCGTGGTCGTCATCATCATTTCCCACAACCGTCACTGTAGCTACTGTTTGGAACGCGGCGAGGGTGCCGTGCGAGTTTTCTATAGTTCGAATTCACCAGGGAAGAGTGCTTTATCGCTCGGCGGCTTTTCGCAAAGGGACAAACCTGTTGTTGGACATACTCCGTCAAGTGGTCCACTTTAAGCTCCAAATGAGGCCCCCAGCCGTACAGTCGCGGGCTGCGCGCGGAAGACGATGACGACAAGCGCGCGAGCGGGCAGATTCGCTCTGACTGAAGTGTTGGGATGACAGCTGAGGGGAAGATATGCTTCCGAGAGCTTCCGAGGGACAGGGAAATTAAAAACGAGAAATGCTTTACAGGTGCTTGCCATTCGTGTGGAGAACGAGTCGCTGGTGCGGGTCAAGCCTGTCAGGCGATGGGTCAAGTGAGTTCATGGGGAGCTGCGGAAAAGCCCCCTGATCATGGATTGAAAAATCGGGGGCGGGTTGATCATTCCGAAAATTCCCGGGTATAATTCCCTAACTTTCTGTTTTGATGTGCAGGTGTTCCATACTCAGTGCTTCGTGTGCGTTTCGTGCGGTCGAGCACTTCGGGGGAAAGCTTTCTACAACGTCCATGGCAAGGTCGGTTATGAAGTCTACGTCGGAGTTTCGGTGCAGAGAAAGTTTCAGTAATCATCCAGTCTCCATCAGGAGGCTTTGTTTTTCTGATTCCCCGCTCGTAATATCGTCTGAAATTTCCTTTGGCTCCTCCAGGTTTACTGCGAAGAAGACTACCTGTATAGCGGGTTCCAACAGACCGCAGAGAAGTGCGCGGTTTGCGGTCATCTCATCATGGAAATGGTAATTTCAGCGATCGTAACATCGGAACAGTGTCGGCAAGGCGCAGTTCTGTTTCGTCTTTCTCGGCCGCGCATTTCTCCAAGATCCGCAATGTCTATAGGCTTGAATGCCGAATATGACGAGCGATCGGTTTGTGAATTATTGTGTCTATACGCTACTTGACGCTGGTGACGAACAATGTGTTCCAGATCCTCCAAGCGATGGGAAAGTCGTACCACCCGGGCTGCTTCCGATGCTGTGTGTGCAACGAATGTCTCGACGGAGTTCCGTTTACGATAGACATGGATAACAAGATATACTGCGTCGCTGATTTCCATAAGTAAGGACAGCTCTATATCCGCGCCTTCCTCCGTGCCTCCCTCGCTAGTCGGTGCAGGTCGCGATCGCGGGGACGGAATCCGAGCTGTCATTATGAGCAACCCTGACCTGTTTCCTCGCCTATCGTTCCCATCGACTCCGTCTCACTGGAATATTGCTGCTCCCTAATAGTTTTATGATAAGTCGGCTGTTCTTGACATGAGACGACAGCGCTCAGCATGATTTGCTCATTCCAGGACCTATGCACCAAAATGCGCAGCCTGCAATAAAGCCATAACGCCGGTGGAAGGCACCGACGAAACGGTGCGCGTCGTTTCCATGGACAATGATTACCACATAGACTGCTACATCTGCGAGGTGAGACCCCCATACCGGTACGCGGGATCCTCTGCCGGGAGAGAGAGATCATTCTAGACCAGACGATTCTCCTCGAGACGACGGAGCCCTATTCCGCGGAGCTGATGTGAATTCAAAATTCTAGGATTGCAAGCAGCAGCTCACCGACGAGCCCGACAAACGGTGTTATCCGTTGGAAGGCCATCTGCTCTGTCACGATTGTCATGTCCGACGGCTGGAAGTCCGGAGTAACAGCAGTCGAAGCAGTTCGGTAGCTAATTCACATTCGCCCGCGATCCAGGTATTTTCCTTTTTTCGAGCATGAACTCAACTCATTAGGCTAGCTTCCGTTGGCCTGAATTCATCCCATCATGGGTCGAGTCCCTGGAGACTTTACACCGAATGACTGTATCGGAATTTCATGTCTCAAGCTCGATAAAGATCAATTCGACGCGTCGTATTTTCAGGGTGCACATTCGCAAGTCGTGTGGAATAACCAAAATGCGTAGAGAAGCATTGTAGGCAGGCTTTGGACGTGTACACGCTGACCGACCCGTCATCGAACTTCATAGAGCCAAAGTTCCAACTATTTAACTTAGGATCTCGCACATTCGTGTCGACAGACCTCTTCGACGATTGACATGGGTTTCCTGGAGTTTCCCGACAGACTCCACAAGCTATAATTTGTATCGGAGGCGCACAATACAATGGTCGTTGACGATCTACAAGTTTTTCGCCTACAAGCCAAAACGGTGCTCATAGATAGTCCAGATCTTCGATTTCGAGGCTCGAATACGTACGACAAGAACTCCAGCTCAAATTCTCCGTGTATCATTGAAGCGCGATAACACATATCAGCGGCCCCCGGTCGCCATCATGTGCGCGTCGTACCAAGATACCTACCTTCCTCGGGTCCAGACTTCTTATGGAGATGCTTACGGCGGCGGTTCTACGTTCGACCATGTGATACTTAGTTATGGGGGATTACTCAAAGAGAGGATCCGACTCTCGTCGGGAAGAGAGGTGAACGATTTGTGAGAAGGACGCTCCCGCGAAGGACACGAATTTTGACTCCATTTTGTGGCTAGTAGAAGAGACGACCTATACAATCGATCAGATCGGATCATCATACCAAATAAAATAATATTTTAATACAGAAAATGATGCCCTCGATGGGATTGAGTGCTCTCACCGGGAAAAGCTCCGACATCATGCCATCTCTAAACTCCCATAGGAATTGTACCCAGCCGCATCGCCCGAAGAATTCGCTATCATCGAGCATAAGCATCATTTCACGGTGGTTTCCGCCTCAGCCGAGGGAATGGGCGACCCTCGTGATCTCCGAGTTTTAGTTGAGAATGCTCGACTCGGGAATACTCCGAAATCCCAAACTTCTCCTGTCTCCGCTCTCCAGAACTCAGTTTGTGTGGTGGGCAAGAGCAGGTCCACTAACTCAGTCGAACGGCTGTCAGGCTTTAGCTTGGGCGGCAGATTATGGAAGGCCGTCAGGAATCTGATGAGGCGCGTATGTCTCTCGAGCTGCTCGGGAAAAATTTCCGCGATACGATTAGAGCATAGGCGAACGGGAGAAGTCCTCGCATTTCCTGCAGCGACGCAAGACCGTTGAATCGGAGGCACGGAGCCATTCGTCCCGAGTCTGTGAGGCCTCCGACTCCGGGAGATATGTATCTATTCAGAATCTTGGAAATTGGATGACGCTGGTCACGATGGTCACTTCCTCTTTGCTACATCCAATAGGTCTCGTACTCGGAGCTCCACAGGACCGGACGGTCTGGTCCTTGCACATACTGTGTATTATTCCCTCTTCAATACGTTCCCCATTGGCTTTCCTGCTCCAGAGCCTGCTCCGATCGGTGCCCTGATTGGAGATGATATCGATCGGTTTCTCAAGCAACGAAAGCACCGACGTGAATCTATCCCCTCCCACATTGCCATCTCGAATCCCGCTTCCGATGATTCCAACACATCGTCGATTGATTTTCCCGGGAACGGGCCCACCGCGCAAACGGACTACACTAGGCTGCTTGTCCATACGATTCCCTACGATCGAGAGAATAAATTCGCGTAGCAGCCAAGTTCGATCGGGCACCAGACCGCTCCCGGATCCTGAACAGGATTCTGCTGCTGCTGCCACCAGTTTATCAGCTCATCCAGTCTGATCTCGCTGCGTCTCTTGGACGGTGGTAGCGGCGGCTCCTCCTGCTCTGTCGGAGGCGAAAGCTTCGGCCAGAGGTTAATCCCATATTAAAAATTTAATAAAGCCCCGAGGGCGGAAGATATTTTTTATTGTTCCGATGCTGGCCGAGAAAAGAAGAAAAAGGTCGGTGTGGGGGGCCGGGAGGAGAAAGGCCGCTCACACAGAACCGAGCGCCCAGGGGAATGTGTGTCCATTGTTTTTACTGGCTTACAATGCTCGAGCGACAAGAAGTATGAGAGTTCACCTCGATTGCAGAGCATCTACGCTCTCTCAATCGTTTCGCCAAGCATCCGTCGGGTGTTCGATCGTAGGTGGTCGGGAATAAAACGAAAAACGACTTTCGCGTTTCTCAGGACACGTCGCGGAAGATTGAAATAGAGAATCTCCCGGATTCGGTATTGCGCGGGACATCACGTGTTTATCGATCGATCACGGAAGCGAGGAAAGGTAGGATACTAGGGTTGGAGATGTGCATGGTCCGACCATAGCCGGAATGATGCGGGGCATGCCTAAGCAAGCATTAGAAAATCGATTCTGACGCGCTGGTGCTCAACACCGAGTGGACGGAAGCTCGTTCCTGCCGAGCCAAGAACGAGGTCTAGCTTTGAGAATCGCATCGAACAGACTGGTGGGGAAGCTGTTCCCAGGCAAACCCCGACATCGTGTTCATCCCGGAAGCGTCTGACGCCGGGAGTAGAGCGAATTGGATGATCCCCAACATTGTCTTGAGGCTAGTTCGTTCAGTGATTTCATTCACGCAGATACACGGATCGAAGTCGGGCTGAGCCAGCGAGATCGAGAAGAAGAATAGCCGGGAAATTCCAGGCGGAAACCATGGCAGTTCGGCAAATCCCGCGAGTGGCCATTGACGAGGTCTTCAGGTGAGTCGCGCGGGAAACCTCGAACCTGACCGAAGCGATGCATCCCCGTAAATCGAATGAGCCAGTCGCGTTCTCCTCGTCCTCCTGTGCATCCGGCTCTGTGATCGCTCGCGGAATATACACATACATACGTAATGTGTCAGGCGAAGCTCGAAGGCTCCTGATTAAATCGCCGTTCCCCCGCTGATTACTGGAATCGATTTCTCACAGCTCAAAGGGAGAGCCCCGGTTACGGGGGAACAGACGTTGACGAGAATTCGATGACGGGAGACCAGCCTCGATAATCATTATTTCCCGTCACCTGAATTTTCTTTGTAGAGGTCGCGCATGGCAAGGTCGCCGACTTTTTTGGGGCTCTCCATATAGGAGCGTTCGGTCGAGCGCTGCTATGTTGGGCTGCCTGCCGTTCCTCCGGTTTCCGGCTGGAGAGAAATGAAAAATAGAAAAAAGAAGGCAGAGGAAAGAGCGGCAGGAGAGGAGATAATTAGAAACGACAATTTTTAGATGCGATAAAAATTCGCCGCCGCCGAGAGCCGAAAGAAGTGCTTTCCTTGCGCCTTGCGGACGCATATCTTTCAAACAAGCACGGTCTGCTCGCTCGAGTTTGTTGAGTCGTGTCTGCTCTTTCGGATTTCCAATCTCATTTCGGAAGGCAAGAACCTGAGCCTTGAAAGGTGAACGTCGCGGGGAGCTTCGCCGTACATCATTGAGACTTTTTCATCACTTTATTCGCTCGGCCCGGAGATGAGAAAAAATCACAAACAGATTATTTCCCGGCACGAGTCCGTCCGATCCTCATTTTTCGTTCCCCGATTCCGAAAACACTTATGAGCGGTTGACTGTGGGACATTCTCGGGAAGAACTCTTCCGATGCCGGAGACGACATCGATGCTCATTCCAGAGCCGATATCATGGCCTGATCCTTCTTTCCGGATTGATAATCTCCTACGAGGCACCAGCTCTCAAAAACATGAGCCAATGACCGCAAGAGCACGGACGAAGTCCTCCTCTGCGAGTGTCCCTCCCGTGCACGCGCGCGAACTGTGTCCGCGAGAGGTAAGCTGTGCTGTTGCTCATGGAGCTTCTTTTTTGTCCCTCGCTGCTCACCCGGTATTTAAATGCGGAACGCATTTTTTAAACATCAATTAGTGCCCACCATTTGTTGATACGATGACTGTGTTCCTCTTAGCGAGCGAGCGAGTATGTCCCTCTCCGAGTATACATATGTGTTCACCGCCAATACAGACTAGTCTCCCGTACGCTGTCTCTGTGCCGTTTCCATGTGGTGCCTCAAGGGCTAACTCGATTATTCGATCCAGTTCCCTGCGAGGGAGTCTGGCTCGACACAACTTTTTGTCGCAACGGCTTTCAGAGGTGGTTATTTTTTTCATTAGTATCTCTTGCTCGTTTCAAGCTGTTTTTGTGTATTGTATATGCAAATAGCAATCGGCCGTCGGATTCGCGCTCACCCCTCCCCGTGTCCTCCTTGTCCTGAACCGCTTGCGCCGCCGTCGCTGCCGCTTCTTCATCGCTCGTCGCTGAGTCGTTTCCCGAGTCGTACTGACAGAGAGAATCCGACCGAGTGACGAGGTGTGTGTGACAACTCCAGGAAATGTCATCCACGCCGCCTTTTCGGCGGTCCGGTTCCACCGTTTCTTAACGCCTCGCTAAACGTTCATTGTTCTCGAAATCGTCGGATAAAAAACGTAATTCGCGACTGCTGCGCTCTCTGCTCTTAGTGAAAAATTCCCCGGGAACTTTGATACGCAACAGTTTCTGCCCTCGGTGCGCGACAAGCGGAGAGCATTTGCAAAACGTGGTGGCTCGAAAATTCGTCGGGGATAATTTCCTCCCATGAGGCTGGATAAATCTGGTTCTGCAATACAGCGGGAGTGATGCCAATCACTGGGTCATAGCGGACCCGATGCGTATTATCCCGACGTGGAGTGAAAATGTCGGTTGACCTTTTCGGGGGAAAAAGAGAGCGTACGCGTTTAATGAAAGGGAAAAAATAGGGGAGCTCTCCTGATGAGCGGCATCTCCGCGCACCTGCGACGTGGCAACAACCAAGCGAGTTTTGCAAAGTGATTGCGATGGGGATGCGTGCAGCGAGAGACTCGGGGGTATTTGGTACGCTGGGCACAAGAGAGGGTAGCGAAGAAAACAGAAGGAGCAGCCAGGGGTAAGCCTGGGCGGCGAGAGTAAAAGCGCCTAATTCGAATCTTCTTTGCTAAAAACATTCACTAGCCGCTCGCTGTAACATTCTAATGAACAAGCACTGTGTGCTGATGAAGGCTTCAGCTCGAGAGAGGAGCGAGCATCCCGACAAGGAAAAAACGCTAAAATTAGCGGCCGAGCACATTATGGTCTGGTTGGGGGTTTGGCAAATTGCATTCCTTACGCAACTTGCTACGTTTGTTCCATCGAACATTGATTATCAGTATGCAAGAGCAGGAGAAGGCGACTGCATCGCCGATCCTATTTTTCCGGCA